TAGGGAAAACGCCCTGCTTGTACCTGATCACTACAATGATCCCATCAAAGATGTTGTATGGATTTTTGATGTAGCCAAAAGGACCGTACACAAGGACCTTCAGGAGCATCTCCAGAGCAAAGAGACTTGTGAAGACTATATTGCTGATCTCCAGGGCATTGGTGAGCTCCTCAGGCTGGTGCCAAGAATGAGAAGAGAGGAAAAAATTAAGGAGTTAAACAATACGGGTCTGCTCTCAAGGGCTTTGCAAGTTTAAACCAGGTCTGAATTATGAGAGCATATAAATGTCAGTGTAGCAGCATCACTTACACCCCCGGGTCTAGATGAGTAGGCCTGTGTAAAGGAAAACACCAACAGGGCAGTGTGAGATAAAGTACCCATTATAAATTACATAGTAAATCCACCCTTGACATTGACATTAATTACAGCATCAGTACCCTCGCAGGAGGAGACATTTGTAACACTGTCCAATAGCGAGACTGAGCATTTCCATAACCCACACACCAATTATCCTAGACGGAAGGGGATGTCAGACTGCTCTCTCGCACACCCATCAATTATGGGTCTGCTTTCTTTATTTACTAGGTATTTTACTCTTATATAAAAACTAACACCAAGGCTTCAAAAGTGATTAGTGATTTTGCGTGCTGAAGCTGAGATGGTTAAAGGAACCCAGTTTTTACAAACTCCTGTGGAAATTAGCCCCTCTTCGGTGTCTCAGGTTGGGAACCCAAAATCACTTGACTTGAACTTCTTAAGTATTAACTTATACTTTGTATATAATACTGTGCACATCTCCAGCATGTTTTACCCAAGGACCCCAACATGTTTTACAAGCAGTACTAAAGCCTCAGACTTTTCATTTGAGCTAGGCATAGGCATGTTATAAACACACCACAGAAGGTAAACGGAGGCCCAAAAAAGTTAAGTGACTTCTTTAAGACCAAACCATTAGTCAACGGCAAATCTAGAAACAGAATCTGGGAGCTCTGACTTCCCCCCTCCTGATCCAAGCTCCTGGTAGTTAGGCACAGTATTTAATAACTACAGACACATGCTTCAGTTTAATTGAAATCAAGAGCTCGAGTGATCTGTTGAACAAAGGTTTGAAGACCAAATTTATAAAAGTTGTTGGCATCTACAGGTGCATATAGGCACTTAATGGGATTTATGAAAGATCCTAAACAGACTAGGTGCTTAACGCTCATGGGTTGTCACCAGGAGTCAGGCACCTAATTCACTTGGGCATTTTAAAATCCCTCCATGTGCCGATCTCCATCTTTAGGTACCTAAATACTGTTGCAAAATACTGTTACTGGCCCCAGGTCACAAGTCTGCATGCTGTACGTTAACAAAGAAAAGGCAGCAGCTGGATGACACTGCAGATAGTATTAAGTACGGACACCAATTATGCTGAAGTGACCTTACAGCTCACAAACAAACCAAACGAGAAGAGGAGGATCCTCAAATGACGCAGTAGCTGAATCTGTAACCTAGTCTGCCTATTGCATGCACTCTGGGTAAGAGGATCCCCACTCTTCTGAAACCTCACAACTGGGCACAGCAGGGGTGACTGAAGGACATCACTTGTAGCCTTAGCTCACTATGTGGTCACTTGTGATTGCTTGTATTTCAAAGTACCATATGACTGAAGGGGTTATAAATATGCAGACAGATGAATACACAGACAAAAAACATTTGTGCATTTAATTCTCTTTCATTGGTTCTTATTGCCGAAGTCTCCCAACGTGCTCACTGCATCTCCCCTTCCAGTTCACATTGCCTTTCTCCCTCTTGGTAACATCTGGAGTAACATTTACTCCAAAGACTTGGACCCAAATCATTTTGACATCATCTTGACTTTGCACCGTAGTCTCTACAGACTTGCACTGATGCTGGTGGGAGTTTGTTGTGACAAAGCTAAGTCCTTATCAAGGGATGACAGAAATGGCAGTATCAAAAAAAAGTAGGGAAAAGAACTACCCTATGCACATACGAGATATTGTTTGGGCACTTAAAATACCGCAGCCATGTCAAAGTACTTTTATTTTTGTTCAAGGCATCAAAGGGAACTTAGTCCATGAAAGAGGTCAGCTCTCAGAAAATGCTTATGTTTCAACAGCAGGAGGAGGGGAAGGTCAAATAGTTGAACCTCCTGAAGAGAAACCAGAGGGAAAGAAAACAAAGGGTTATATCAACTCTTGGCTTGACGTGCAGAGATTCATGCCTGTCACTCTCATCAGTGAATAAATCCTGAGCTAGAGTTTGACAAACACTTGACATATAGTCCAAATGACTTCCCTGGCTGATCTCAAGTTAAAATAAAAAAAAATGCTTTAGCTCATGTTATTATGCACACTTCTGGTAGAAAATTATATACAGCCTGCGACACACACGTGCAACGGAATAAATAGGGTGGGAGCTTGTATGTCAAGTCTCACCTCAGGACAAATGCAAATGCTCAAAGTCTACCTTAGTCATGAAAATGCCAACTCGCACATAACCGCGACAGAACAGAAGCAGCCGTTGCGGTTGTGATCCTTACGGGGGTTATATCATCACGGAAAGAAACGCGCTTTTGATGCATTCTCATCCATCATCACCGGTAATTTGTACCCGATCCGCCAAATTGCACCTTCACTGACACCTGTGCAACCCTCTCAGCTCAAGAAACAACTACAGGACAGCTGTGAAATGGGACTGCTGGCATATAACTAAGGGGACGTGATGACCCTGTGGTTAGAAGGCAGTGAACGGTCTCGAAGCACCAGCTCGAATAGAGCACCGCTCGCCCCTGTCCATTCCTAGAAGATGCAGGAAAATGATTTTTTAAAAGGCGGCCAGGAGAGGAGGTGATTTGAGGCTAATAAAATGATTGATTGATAGCACTTTGCATTCCTCTAGCACCTTCCAGCTGAAGGTCTCAGTACATTTTACAAAACCCTTGGGCATGGGCACCAGCACTAGATACGGGACAGGCAAAGAGAGGTTATGTGACCTGCCACAAGTCAAGCAAGCAGTCAGCAATGGCAGAGTTTGAATCGATGGATTTTCAAAGGAGCTTCAGGGCACTGGGTTCCAGCTCTCACTGGGATGTTTTGGGATTTGGGTTCCTTCCCTTCAGACAGCTTTTTTTATTCCCAGTCTCTGGCCATCCCTCTAGTGAAAGCATGCCGTGCATTAAAGAAATGCATGAAACACACCATTAAAGGCACCTGCTTTAGGCTGCGTGTACTCCCACATGCCCTGGACGCTGGTTCTTTATTTTCAAGTCCCTGGAAAAACTCTAACCCTGGTAAAAAGAGAAATAAGTTCAGGGACCTGTCAGTGGGAATCAGCCCGTCTCCTCACTCGCTGCCAGAAGGGCCGGAAAGCACTGCTAATAATCATCACCCTCAGCTCAGAAGGGCTTCACCTGACAGATGCTGTTGTAAATCATCTTGGGGGAAAAAAAACAACATCCTGAGATAACCAAAGTCTGTAATTGGTGTCACTGCTTTGGCTGGGGTTCAAGCTGCAGGAAAAGTAATTTCAGTGCCAAGGAGATGGGCTGGTACAGCGGGGAATTTGGGTGGCTCACACTGTTTACCTAGCAAGCAAGACATGGTAAGAGAAGATTTGAACATAACCTGCTGCTTGCATTGCAAAGAGCAGAGATGTCACCTGCACTGCTCATTAGAGGGCTTCGCGGCTCCTCTAACCACAGGCACCGGCAGACCGTGGGGTGGAGGGACTCCATCGGCTGGGCCACGCAGGGGGCTGCTCTGAGCTCAGCATCCATCATACTGGCATCTGCGCTACGGCAGAGGGTTTATCCCTTGCTCTCATCAAACAGCGCCTCAGGAAAAATAAAATCCATCCTAATTTCGCCTCCTCTGAAACCCCTCAGGCCAACACAGTTAATGAACAGAACGGGCTCTGCATCCTGGGGGAAGCGAAAACCATTTTTCTCTGTCCACGGCACAGGTGCAGTGTTAGGGAAGGATCACCTCACCTGGCATTGCTGGGGAGTCAGGTGCCACGGTTGTAACCCACTGATTCACGGGTGTGTGATATGCATTCCCCTCTCTGCCCACCCTACGGAGGGCACGGGCCTGTAACCGCTCCTGGCTACAGAGCCCAATTCATTAATTCTTGCTGTAGACACTCCTGGAGTCCCCTGGTGTGTCAGCCAAGAGTGGCGGCTACACAATTACCTGCCATCAGGCTACAGCATCCTCTAGGGACTCGGGCAGAGCATCCCAACTTTTCTGTTGATCTTTGCCACTGAATTAGTCTCTGCCCTGGGGCAAACTATTCTGCCTCATTCCTTCAATTCTGTACAGTGGTGAAATGCACTCGCAGGCGTGTCGGAGTGCCTTCTAGTGCGTTGCACAGCGATGCCTCATCTCTTTTCTTTTTCTTTTATTGTAAATGAACTTCAGTTTCAAGACAAAAGGTCATTGTGAACCACCAGGCTGACATTTTTGCTCAGCAAAAAGTTGAGCTGGGCCATTTCAACAATAGCAAAAGAGGTGTGCGAGAATTTGTCAAAACAAGAAGCGCCCCGAATGTGATCCTGTCTCGAGAATATCTCAGTTTTTTCTGACAAATCAGTGCTTTCTGACAAAAGAAAAATAAATAAATAAAAGAGGTCCCTGAAACAAAAAAAAATTTAAAAAAATGCTCCACCAGCTCTAGTCATCACATACGTGGGAGAATCAAAGATGCCTGACAAAGCCCCAATCCCTTGGGTACGTTGCCAAGTGTGAAAGAAAATCATGCCTCCAAAAATCAAGCTGTTTTTTCCCACGCACTGTCATAAACAAGGGAGTTTGTTTCGCATATTCGGAGAGGGCACGCTCGGAAACGGAATTTGGTGAGGATTTGGAAAGTACAATATTTATATGGTTTATTACAAATGAAATGTAGCTCTTGATGCAAAACACGAGGCTCACTTGCAGCATAACGCTTCCTGCCCACCAATTTGATGCTAGTACATCTGTCATAGATTACAATTCTCCACTAACATAAGATTCTGCTAATTCTCTCATCAGTGGCAACAGTGACTAATTAAGAGGAAAACTCCCTTTGATTAAAACAAGTAGTAGAAAAAAGCAAAAAGGACCTCAACATGATTCAGATGGGAAAAGATGCAATGCTAAGGACCCAATCTTAGAGGAGCCTTTGGAAAAT